TTTTTCCTTATTATAATTTTTAAATTTGATTAAATATTTAAAATGTAAATACACAACTATACATATTGTGTATATATATATATATATTTTTTTTTTTTCTCTCAGTTTTTATGATACTATTTCATAATAAAGTTATTTTAAAAAAATTAGGAGGTTTTGGATAGTGCAGCTGAGTCTGCAAAACCAAAATTTCCCCATCTAATCATATTATAGTATAAGCAAAATAAATATATAATAATACATGAATAATAATTCAATAAATTCGAAATTGGGATGAGGATAGGTAGAATTAATTAATTAATTAATTAGGACGACGATGATGATGAGGATGAGGAAACTAAGTAATTGATTATTAGGTAATTAATTAGTTGGAAAAGTCAAGTCAATAAACTTTCCGCATGAAATGGCGCCACGCCAACTCAAAATAAAAAATCAGCAAACGAACTGACAGCTTCTCCGGTGCTCTGCCCACTGTTGCTCCCATCTCAAACCACGTTAATTTTCAATAATTTAATATATAATTTGTACATAATAATTAATATATTTCCCATTTATTCTTTGTAAGGCATGTGTATATATATATATGATTACTCGGTCGCTTACTAATAAGCAAAAGACAAAAAATATACAAGAGAAAAAAATTGTCACATCTGTTATAACTTGAATGCAAAGGAATTGCGATGTGATGTGATGTGGTGGGGTCATGTGACTCATCACAAGTCTATTACAATAAATTGATATAAACTGTTTGGTTAGCGAGAAAATGAAAACCCATCTATCCAAAATTTTTCCAGCTACTGCCAAATTAAATGAATAGAAAATGGATAAGTCTATCTCAGTGTTTTCTAAAAAGTCTAATTCGTTGAATTAGTGTAACATCTAACTAATCCTCAACACCTGGCGATTCTATGCCAATATCAAATAACCGAGTTGATGGATTCTTTTTCCCCTTTTATATCTGGTTTATTATTAAAATGATTAAAAATCAATGTTTAGATCCTAAAATATCTTTAGCCGATTGTTACATTTTCTGGTCGTTTTGTGAACGCTTTTTATGTTCAGAAATTACACCTGCCCATAAAACGACATTTCTCTTCATTTTTTGCGTATCAACTAGTTATCTTTCTTGATGTTTTCGGATATAGGATTCTATATATATATATATATATATATATATATTATATACACACACACACCCAATACCCATGTAGGGGGTTCTCTATATATATATATATATATATATATTTTTTCATAAAACAAGTTCACGTGAATACTAGTAAAATTGACATTAGTTTGATTTGCATGAATATGATCATTATTTTCTCATATTATTATTAATTATTATTATTCTAAAATTTTGACCATTATCTTAAATTTATTTTTAAAAAATGATTGCTAAATTTGCAAATCACTTGTTAATTTATGTGGGTACTCTACCTCAAATAAATTAAATCATTATCTTTGTTTATAAACGTTGTGAGGAGGACATAAATGAATGATGTTTTTTTTTTTTTATGAATTATAATTATTATTTTGTAAAAAAAAAAAATTTAAACCCAATATAACATATCATTTAAATTGAAATATTTTCAACTGTAAACATTAAAAGTATTAAAAATTATGGTACGTTTTAAATCCATAAAATTGCAATCAAATTTTGTAAAATCTAGTGACTTACAAAACAGATAAATTTTGTAAAATGAAAAGTAGAATGAACCCAGAATTCACAAACGAAAAAAAGAATAGAAGGACAAATCTGGATTCGAGACGCCATTGATTTGATTCTTTTTAAGCAAAAACAGAAAATAGTTTCAACACCAAAATTGATGCCACGGAGTGCCAGAATATGACAAAGTAAGGTCCAAAAATGCTGCAAGCAATCCACTCAAAAACATGGACCAAGTTAGAGGTATACCAGATCAGATCAGATCAGATCAGATTCAGACAATTTATAAATCATGAAGAGCTCCACCATGTCCAATACCAGTGTTTGAATATGGGTTTCACCTATTACCTCCTAAGCCAACAGCTTAAAAGCACTAGATCAAGAAAAAATTATTAATAAATTTTCACGATAACGTATACTCGACCGGCAGTTAATTCAATCATAAATTCGTTTCATTTCCACCAGCACAGTGTACGGAGAACGAACAAGTAAAATTCACAAGAAATTAAAACTTCAAAACTTACAAAATTCAATTATAACAAATATATATATTTGTAGGTAAATATGGGATATAAACTATATAATATATAATATATTCATATACCTTGACTTTTTTCAACACTCAAACTGAAGCCTGAGAAACTTTGGCCACCACTTTCGTCTCTTGACTCAAGCCTCCACCCACCGGTCTCATTTCACCCGTAACGGCCGTACCAACTCCCTGGTACTGGGGCGATACCACAACACCCCCTCCTGCGGTGTAGTACACCTGTCTCCCAACTCCACCCTCGTACGCCATAGCCGCGTACCCACCATCTGTCACGCCTACTGCGCCGCCGCTCCCACCAGCTTGCCGCACCATCCCCATCGGAACCTGCCCCTGAACAGTATGTTGCCCCGCCGCTGATAGAGGCGGAGCTGTCTGTGTCTGCGTTGGTTGCTGCGCCACTATGTTGTATACTTGTTGCTCCCTGTATACATCAGCTGCCATTCTCTGCATGTTGGGGTAGTAGCCTTGACCAGCTGGCGCGGTAACAGGTCGCACCATTGCCGCCGGTGCTGGTGCGTGGTAGACGGTTCCCGGAGCTGGACCTGGTATCATGAAAACCTGCTGCTCCGGTGGTCCTGGTGCTCCAGTCATCGTCGCCGGGAAACCTCCCGCAGGAATTTGCTTGTCTGTCCAGAATCCAGCCGAGTGCTGCAGGTGCTGTTGAATGTTTACTGGTAATGCTACCGGTGACGATTTCTCCGGCAACTTCTGAGCGTAGTATCCTCCGGCTTCGGCGTAAGGTCCTCCCACTAAATTGTCATCAACCTTTCTCCCGTACATGATCTGCTGTTCTTGCTCCCTAATCTGCAGCCTCTGTAATTCATGCAACTGCCTCTGAATCTCCACCGGATTCAAACCGTGATCCGATCCGATGACGCGATCATCAGGCGCTAAACCGACTGGTACCTCCGGCTGAGGCAGGGGAGCAGGGGGCGGCGTGGCTACCGGCTCTGGAATCGAGTCACGAACTTTCACAGGAGGCGGCACCATTCCTTTCTCCAATCCAAACAAGAAGTCAACATTATGCGGATTGCTGACGGCTGGCTTTTCAGCTATAGCTTGTGCAGGACCTAAATTCAAAGCCTCAACGAACCGGTCCCGCTCGGATCTGGAGCCCTCGGATCCGAAGCTACCTGTGGAAGAAACAGGGAAGAGAAAGAGGCGCATCCTGGCAGGCTTGGCGGAAGCACGGTAGAGACGATCATATTCATGCATCAAGTGCTCGAGATCGTCTTCGTTGGTGACAGAGATCAAAGCGTCGAGGTCCTCGCCGGGAAGCTGGTACTTGAAGGAGACATCAGGGTCACCGCAGAGAGAAGCGAGCTTGGAGATCATGACGGGGAGCTTAATCGATCGGTCAACGGCAAGAATCTTAGTCTCGCCGCCGACGTAGGCAAGCTGGTTATCATGTGGACGAGGCTGGATCTTACCACCATAACTGCACATAAACTTAGCCTTGTAGTTCTGTGATTGCTGCTGCTGCTGCTGCTGTGACTGTTCCTCCCATGGTGGAGGAGTATCAAAATCGATCTCGCGAGAACGCGGTGATGAATCTGCCGAGTCTGGATAGGAATTATACGAGTGTTTCTCCATTCCGAAAATTTAAAAGCTCTCTCCCCTCCCCCTCTCCCTTCTCTCTCTTCTGTGTATCTGTTTCGTTTTTTGGGTCAGGAAGTGGGTGCTCTTTGTTTGTTTTTGGTTATATTCGTTAGAAGATAAGCAGTGTCTATTTGAGAGTGGTGTGAGAGGGAGAATGATATTACGACGGAGCGGTGCACGAAGATTTGTGTGATGTTAGAGTTTTGGGGACACGTGGCGAAAAAAGAGGGGAGTTGTATGGGATAGGGTAAGGGTGTGAGTGTGAACGTGGGTTGGACTTTTATGGAGAAGTGAGTGGGGACCACAGAGCATTGATGATGCGTGAAGGGATAAGAAAGTGATGTTTTGACTGAGATGGGCGCTTACATGGTTTTTTTTTTTTTTTTATAATTATTATTTTTAGCTCCTATTTTCCATAAATTTTGAAAATTTTAAAATATTAAATTCTATATGTATTTTAATTTTGGTAAATTATCAAAATGTGGATAAGAAATTATTGATGAAATTTTCGAAACTAAAATTTTAATGTACGCATAGGATGGAACAAAATCATGACTCACGTACAACTAACAAAATCTTTTCAACTATCAACTGCATCAAATGGCATTTATTGTTGGATCTGAATTTGATTGCTTTTAGTAAATGATTTAAAAATATAACAATAATTATTGTTATAAATATATGTTAAGAATTTATTTAATTTTGAATTCATTGATTTTAAAAATATTTTTATATTAAATATATAAGCACTTTGATTATTATTATTTTAAAATGTCTTAGAATCCTAATACTTAAATAATAAATCAATAAACTTATTTTAAATTCATGATAAAAAATTTAAACATATTTTAAATATATAATGATAACCACAAAAAATTATAACAATATGAATAATAATAATAATAACTTATTACTTACTTTTTAATAATAATAATAACAATTTCGTACCAACCAACTACCCATTTGTATCATAAATTAAATATTAATACCGTTACATTCATTCTTTATACAAATTTTAAGCATATCGTAATTAGTGTTAGTATTATAGAAACAAAATATGTTTCTAATATCATTTACTATATATTAATAACTTTGAAAAATATATTTTTTGTAAAATTATATTAGGAGGTAAATTCATAAATATATAAACAAAGCGTTTAGTTTTAAAAAATATAAAAAGAAATTAATGGAAGACAAACGAAGTTTATAAAAATAAAACGCGGCATAGTAGAGAGACCATTAAGAGTTTCACAATCAAATTACTTGTTGGATCATTTTTTATTTTCATTTTCATTTTGCCTTTGCAACATATTTGAAAAAAATATAAAATTTATTTATAAATTATTTCTTATGAGAATATGTGAAATTGTAATAGAATGACAACAAATTAAATATATATATATATACTTTTTGTGAAATTAAAAAATAAAATTTTAAAATTTGGATTTAATTTTCATTATATTTTATATTTTTTACGTAACCTATTGTTCAAAGTATTTAATAACACATATTCGATTATTAATTACTACAATATAAATTGTGATTTGATTTATAAATCTATATAAGAAGGCCCTTGGGCCTTATACCCAGTACAAATTATTTTTTACTAAAAAATATACTGGATCCGGATCCGAGTTATTGCCTTCGACAAGTCCAATCCAATAGGTATAAAATGGGCTTGTACAGTATTTTGCAATTTCAAAAGAAAGTCAAGGGTAAAGTTGCCACAAAGAAAATCTTACCTTCCTATGTTAGAACACCCTTCCTCCCCTTCGTTTTACGCTAAAATCACAGTCTCATTGACTGCCAAGACCATCGCACTGAGCATTCTCTCTTCGTTCTCGGTATGGTTTCGTCTGGATCGTAGCCCTAATATCCATTTCTGGTTTTCTCAATTGTTTTAATTGTTAGAAATTCGTGTTTTATTTACGCATTTTTGCGGATTATAAGGATGGGAGATGTGGATTCGATCGCGTTTGGTTTGTGAATTTTATTGCAGGAATGGCCAGAAGTCTAGGAGGATTTCTGGTGCTAATCCTAGCGGTATCGCTATGCGAAGCTGCTTCGATTTTTGAACCGATCTCTGATTCTCATCGCTCTGCCGCTCTCGAGCTTTTTACTCCAATCGACGGATCATTTGGCAGGTCATTTTTTTGAAAACCGTAATGAGATTCTCCCTATTGCTGGTAGATACAATGTTTTTTCTAGTGTGAGAAATGGAATGGAAATTTCAGTTTTCTTCACCTTTGACAGTTGATCTGATTTTTCTCTTTGTTTATGTTCGATGAATCCTGTGTAATGATCCTCTTGATTTTTCTTCTGTGCTTTTGTGAACATCTCCTCTCTTATATGTTTTCTGTAATGTCAAATTACTTGGAAGTATTTGTTAGTTTTCGCTATCTTTTTTTTTTATTTTTTATTACATGATCTGAGCTTAAGGGAAAACCAGTATCTGATTTGACTAGTCTCACCAGCTTGGAGAAGACATATGAGGCACTTAGAACATTTGATATTCTTGGAATCAAGAAGTCTGACGTTAGCACCCAAACTTGTGGTTCTGTGTCTGAAACTCTTGCGTCACCATCTTCAACTCTCATGGATCTGTTTGAAGCGTTAAAGGTCAATGGCATTCTAAAATGCAAGATTAATGAGGAAATCTTTGAGGTACTATTCCCACCGAAGTATATATTTTAGTTTGAACTCTTTGCCTTTGTTGTTCAAACTTGTGGCATTATGTCATCTGGATACGTTAAAATCTGTTTTGCTATTTTAAAGGGTGTCATCTCACGACTTCAAGCTGCTGTAAATGATGCCAATTCATTGCTTGAATTTCACCATTCAGTAGGAAGCTTGGTGCTTATCAAGGTAATGCTAATAGAAAGATCATATTTCTAAGTTTAAAATGTGTTTGTCTTTTCCTTTTTTATCCCCAAAAAATGATATCCTCCTCTAAATATTTGCATATTCTTCTTGCATATAATACATACTTTTCCCGTAAAATTCGTTTGTTATATGCTGTTAGACTTTCATCTGACTGACCTTCATCTTGGAGGATTTATAGAATTAAATTCTCTGTTCTTTGATTTTTCTTACTCCTTTCCCCATTAATGATTTATTTTCCGAATGCAGGGTCAAAGTTCTAAAACTGATTTACAACTTGGTGATGCTGAAGGAATTTTCCGTTCCATCAAGGTTGGTTCCGAGATTAACTTCATTATTTCTGAATTAAATCTTCATATTAAACCTTCCTGATCATACTCGATAAGGTAAAACCCTCAGTCAGGTGCACATTTAATCAGCACTGATGTGTGATATTGAGTGCTGAAGTTGCTTATCTCCCA